TGGAATAGCGAAATAAAGTAATTTGCAAGATAGTCCTGGATAGATTTTTCCTAAGGGTTCCTGTCCGCAGCCTGTTTGGGTCTGGGTTGCTTCTGCAAAAGTAGATTTCTAAGTTAGGTACGGTTAACGTCGTTTTTGGATAGGAGATAGGACTATCTCTCTCTCTCTCTCTCTCTCTCTCTCTCTCTCTCTCTCATCCAAAAGGGAGAATGTTTCCAAGATCTACGGCCTAGATCTACGATCTGGATACTAGATTTCGATACTTTCTCGCACCGTTGGTTGTCCGTGTATTCCAATACTCTTAGAATGTATCTTCACCCATTACCGTTCTTACCCTTCTTTCAGAATACTCATATCCTCTTGATTCACCCTACCTTTTACTTCTCCATCTCTATCTTTATCTCTCTCTCTCTCTCTCTTTCTATCTATCTATCTATCTATCTCTTTCTTTTCTTTCTCTCCTTCCCTGTCTTCTACCCTCGACACCCTCACGACGACTTCTCGAGGAGAAGTCTTTTCTTCAATTTGCATAACTTTCCGGCAGGCACGTCGTACTCCGAACAAGGGGATTTCGATGAACCTAAATATCGCTTCCCACGGAGAGAAAAAAAGGAAAAAAAGAAAAAAGCGAGAGAGAATAGAAAGAGAGAGAGAGAGAGAGAGAAAGAAAAGGAAAAAAAAAGGGAGCCTGTTGATCGTTTTATGAAAATTTCACGCTACCTTCCGCTCTAAAAGAGAACTCGGAAAAGGTCGATTCCAGGCTTGACCTTTTTTCTTCTCTCTTTTATATATATATATATATATATATATATATATATATATATATATATATACATATATATGCACACACATTTTATATACCTTATACATATAGTTATAAACTCAGATATATATTTAAACTGTTCATTTAGATAATGGTAAAAGTCTTATTCGTCAGGACGAATTATTTAAACGTTGCCCCGTATATTAAAAGGAGATCTTTTTTAGGATACCATTATCAAGATTTTTTTTCCTTTTCTAATGGATTCTAATAAGACGTTAGAATCTAATCACTAATTAATTATACATAATGACTATGACGAATATTAAATCGTTATCAAGTTTAACAATCGCTAAAATGCAAGCAGATGGTTGAGGAAAATCGACCGTCCGTTCACTCGAACGATTTTAAACTGGGCAACACGGCACGGCACGGAACGGTGCGATGCAGTGCGGTGCGGTGCGGTGCGGTGCGGCGTTAAATTTGAAAACTTGGAGGGTAGTAGACAGACCGTTGTCGAATCGAACGACCAGCCGTTGCTGTCACTGCTTGCTAGTTCCTGCTGTTGCTGCTGCTGCTGCTGTCGTTGTCGTTGTCGTTGCCGTTGCCGTTGCCGTTGCCGTTGCCGTTGCTACTGCCACTGTTATTGCCGCTGCTGTTGGGAAATGTAAATGCGTCCTTTTCCTTTTGGTGCCTCGAGGGAGGCGGAGAACGATCCTTTTCGAACAGGTGGCAGAGGCCAGATGCGTTCCAACAGGTAGGAAACCAAACGACCATGATTCTTTCTCTCTCTCTCTCTCTCTCTTTATCTATCTATCTATCTATCTATCTATCTATCTATCTATCTATCTATCTATCTATCTATCTATCTATCTATCTATCTATCTATCTATCTATCTCTTTCTTTCTATGTCCAGAAATGCATAAATTATAAACTCACGATATCTTTTTGAATTTCAAAATCGAATCCTATAAATTTCTAGTATGTTCTTATTATACGTGGGTATATATTATATATCACATATATCACAATATATTAATATTTATATATTATCTTCTATTCTCGATATATTTCGAGACATCTGTTTGTTTTCAGATTTTGTTGAGACCGAAAATTTTCCAAAAATTTTCATTAGTGATATTTCACTCCGTTGATATCATTTAATCTATCATCAATTCGATTAGCTTCTATCTTAAACATGTTTACTTATCAATAACGTGATTTAATTTTACTCTCTCTCTCTCTCTCTCTCTTTCTTTTTCTCTGATATCCTAATTTCCCTGACTATTACTACACTCTTCCTCCCTTTTCTCGGAAAAAATTAATCGAATTAAAATGTCAACGCAACGATTCGTACAATCATTCGTTTACTACCGGATTAATTTCATTTCGTATTTCGACGTTCATATTACCAAAGTTGTCTGACACAAGTGCTTTCATCATTGATAACAGTCAGCCAGAATATTTTTCATTAGACCGTCGCGTTCCACTTTTCGGAGTTCGTTGAATTGTTTCGTTGAAACGTTCAAAATTTTCCCTACGTATGCGATTACACATCTGTAAAACCAACAATGAAAAGTATTCAAATTGTTACACTTTTAAAAAATAGTAACATACATTATATATATATATATATATATATATATATATATATATATACATATATATATATATATGTTATGACCCAAATATATATTAATTCCATTTTTTTTAAATAACTAATAATTATATAAAATGCAGAGACAAGAGTGAAGGAAAGATTGGTCCATATTATATATCAAATTTTTCGATCTTATTTCTATCAAAACAAAGTAAGAAATAATTTCTTTACGAATAAAACTAATCGATCATTTATTTATGATCTCATCCTATATACGTAATACTTATTGTAAATATATTTTAATATTTATAAAAAAAAATTTTTTTTTCTCAATATCTTATAATTACATAAAATGTTAAAGACCAGAATGAAAGGAATAGTTGATCGATATAATAGATGAAAAATGTTTTGATTTGTAAAAAAAAAAAAAAAAAAAAAAAAAAGAAGGAAAAAAGAAAAAAAATTAAAAAAGAAAAATTTGTCGATCAAAGAAATTAATCGATCCTTTTAATTATGATTTACAGAACAGTTTCGGTCGGGAGGAAGCTCATATGGAATGGCATCGTGTGGATCCTTGCCGAGGAGAAGGGGGCCGATCGCGATAACGATGCTCGTCGTTTTGACGAGTGCCGTGTCAGGCGGCTTTTGTCCGCCACGATGTCGTTGCGACGACGAAACCCTAAAGGCATCATGCGCTTACGCGGATCTCGAATTCGTACCGATCCAGCTCAATCCGGAGATACGACATTTGGATCTGTCGAACAATCGCGTGGCAAACCTACACTTAACATTTTGTTTCTACGGTAACCTGGAAAGTCTCGATCTTAGTTCGAATCTGATTCGTACACTTGGGACGGACAATTTCGCACTTCAAACGAGCCTTTTAACCCTCAACGTTAGTTCGAATTCCATCAGGACAATAGCGAAAAATGCTTTGAACGGTTTGAAATCATTGAGAGAGTTGAATCTGGCTGACAACAACATAACGGAGATGGACGAGCAAGCGTTCAAATATACCAGCGAGTTAGAAGTTCTCGATCTCAGTGGTAACTCCATCACAAGTTTGCCTAAAGATCTGATGAAGAATCTACACAAGATAAGAACGTTACTTCTAAAAAGAAATTCTCTTTTGGAGGTACCAGCCGATAATCTGGCTTTGGCACCGAGCCTGGAGAACGTCGATCTTTCGGAGAATCTTATTCAGGAATTAACAAGAGACTCCTTGCCGTCCTTACCGTCGTTGGTCTCGTTGAATTTAGCGGACAATGTGATCAGAAGTATCGCCGACGATGTCTTCGACCGATTGCCAGGTTTGTTGCGTCTCGATCTCTCGGGAAACAACTTGACCTCGGTGCCGACTGTTGCATTGGCCAGACTTAATGTTCTTTCGAGTTTGATACTCAATCGTAATCCCCTTGGTACATTACGTCCTGTGGCCTTTCGCAATCTCTTCGAACTGAGAAGTCTCGAACTCGACGATTGCACGCTTGAGAATATCCACGCGAGAGCGTTTGCGGATAATGTCAATCTCGAAAGGATCTCGTTAGATGGGAATCGCGAACTCAAGGAATTACCTGGACGTGTATTGTACGGTGCTCGATATTTAAAATGGGTTTCCCTGCGTCGTTGCAGTCTCGCGACTCTTCAACCAACGCAGTTTCCGGTTGACGGTCTCTCCTTGCTACGAGTCGGCGGGAACCCTCTCGTTTGTAACTGTTCGGTGCATTGGCTCTGGAACGTTATCAGAGCGGAAGAAAGGCGTAACGAGACGCGATTGGAGCTCGACACGAACGACATCGTTTGTACGGATGAGGAATTTGCTGGGAAACCACTGATCGCCCTACCGGAAGGATCCCTACGTTGCAGATTGAGTCCTCTCTATCTCAGCTTATCCGCGGCTGGTTGCCTCGCGGCAACAGCCAGTATCCTGGCATTGATAGCTCATCTTACAAGGGCCAAGAGGAAGAAACGCTTGGCTTATGCGGCACCAAACAGGCCAGAATTTTTAGTCTACGTTGGTAGAAGTAACGAGGAATTAGCGAAGAACGCGGAATCATGTAATAGAAGATTATTGGCCCGGCACGAGGACACTTCCTACGACACGCCTAGAGCTAAAGCAGTCGTTAGGGTTCCTAGATCACAAGATTGTAACATTTATGAAACACCGAGGTACGCTCGGCCAGAAAGACGACTGGATATAATAGAACCACCTACCTCAATGGCTGGTATTCATGGAAGACAACAACAACAACAACAACAACAACAACAACAACAACAGCAACATCAATTTCAACATCAATATCAACAACAGCAACAACCATTGGATGAGGGTGTCTACGCAGTAGCGGATGTTACAGGTCTTCGAGATGAGCCACCGGAAATGTTATCCCTTTATCGTATGCAGAATACACGAATGAACGTACAGCGCGCCGATTATGGTTACGATTATGAGTACGACTATGATTACGAGCCACCGCTTCCGGACAAGCCTCACGTTGTCTTTGTTTGAACGAAGATGTGGAAGGGAAGTTAATGTAAGACGAATAGAGATAGAGATACTTAGATAGAAAGAAAGAAATAGACAAAGAGAATGAGAGAGACAGAGAGAGAGAGAGAGAGAAAGAGAAAGAAAGAGAACAAGAGAAAGAGAGAAAGAAAGAGAATGTGCGTTCCTTTGATTTCGTTTTACGTTAAAATGGTCTCGACCAAATCGAGATTCCAATCGCGCTTTTCCAAGGAATATCTATCTATCTCTATCTCTATCTCTCTCTCTCTCTCTCTCTCTCTCTCTCCCTACACCTTCCTTTCCTCTCTCACTCTCTCTCTCTCTCGTCGTTTCGTTCGACGGGAACAGCTGCGCTTCTTCGATCTTTTCGAGAGCCAACTTACTCGCCTCTCCCATTCGCGTATAGTGACTTTGGGAATGTCTGAGATAGCTCGTCGATACCTAGTCTGTGTGTCTTCTTCTTCTTCTTCTTCTTCTCCTTCATCTTCTTTCTATATATATATATGTGTATGTGTACCTGTGTGTGTGTGTGTGTGTGTATGTATATGTGTGTTCGTGTGTGTTTTTTGTCGTCGTTGTTTCTTTATTGTTATTTTATTTTTCTTTCTCTCTCTCTCTCTCTCTCTCTCTCTCTCTCTCTCTCTCTCTCTCTCTCTCTCTCTCTCTCTCCGCCCTCTATCGCCTCGTCGTCGTTGTAACCGGATAGAAAAGAAACTTTTGAAAGACACTTTGACGATCGGACAACTCGATACGATCCGTGATATCGAATATCGGTTATCGACTACGAGGCCCGTTACATCCATCCAATCCGTTACATCGTATTCTTTATTACGATTTATTCAGGAAAGTTACGTTTCAAGAATTTGTCTTCAAGAATTTGTCTGACTTATTATTTTTCTTTTTTTTATTTTCTATATCCCATGTACGTATGCGCCTAGTATAGATATAGTTCTCTCTCTCTCTCTCTCTCTCTTGGTTTTTTTTTTTCTTGAAATGATACGGGACGTTGGACGGTCGGCAAGAGAGGAGGAGGGAAGCGGGGCGAGGCGAAGGATGAGAAGGTAGAGAGGGAGGATACTTTTTTCTTTTTTTTCTTTTTTTTTTTTTTTTTCTTTCCTTTGCATAAATTCCCTTAGAGAAAAAGAGAAAATTTTGTTACCATTTTGTCATTCACCAATATCAAGAGAAAATTTAGATTTTAGATACATACTGCTAGTGTATGTACTTAGCGACAGTAATAGCAATAGTTGCAGTAATAGTAATAGTAATAGTAATAGTAATAGTAATAGTAATAGTAATAGTAATGACAGTAGTAAGTAGTATTAGTAGCAACATTGGTATTAGTAGCTGCAGTAGGTCCCGGTCAAAGGCTCGACGTATCAGCAAGAAAAAACAGCAATTCACGATTTTTCCTACCACCTCGAAGTTCGAAGACGATCGATCGGCGTACTCGATGACGTAACACGAATGAATTTTCTCTCTCTCTCTCATCTATCTTTTTTTTATCCTTTTTCCCCCACCCCCTTTTTCTCTCTCTCTTTCTCTCTCTCTCTCTCTCTCTCTCTCTCTCTCTCTCGCTCGCTCTCGCTCTCGCTCTCTGTCTGTCTATTTCACTCTTATTCCGGGAGTGGCACAGGCAAAACGTAAATGAAAGAAAATGAAATGTCTTCCGAGATAGTTGCGCTCGCTAGGTAACTAGGATGCATTCTTAACTTGAGGGAGCACAATCCATAACAAATATACATACATATATATATGTATATATATATGTATATATATATATATATATATATATATATATATATATATAATACGCAGCGTTGTATATTATATAGGAAAAAAAGAAAAAAAAAATGAGAAAAGAAAAGGAAAAAAAAAGGGAAAAAGAAAAAAAAAGAAGAAAATAAATAAAACTCGTCTCGCGCATCCGATAAAAATCGAGAGAAGAGAGGGTAAAAGCGGCCGTTCGTATTTATTTTCGTAAAGCTAGCTAGCGGAGTCGAAGCTGGCTCGAATGGACGGATGGACGGATGGACGGATGGACGGATGGACGGATGGACGGACGGACGGATGAATGGATGGATGGATGGATGGATGGATGGATGGATGGATGGATGGATGGATGTTCGGATGCGAGTGCAACGCACCTAACAAACGTTCATTTTGCAATTTAAAGTTAGACGAATTGGTTGGATCAAAGCATCAGCAGAGAGAGAAAAAGAGAGAAAGAGAGAGAGAAAGAGAGAGTAAATGAGAGAGTACGAGTGAGAAAGAGAGAGAAAGAGAGAGAGACAGATAGTCTCTTTCTCTTTCTGGTTTCTATCTTTCTCGTTTGTCCGTTTCAAACCCGTCTAGAGTGTGTAGCGGAATTAGATTATTTCTCTTTCTCTCTTTCTCTCTCTATCTGTCTTTCTCTTTCTTCATTCCTTTCTAAATCTCTATCCCGCTATTTATCTCTATCTCTTTATCTCTTCGTTCGTTCAACATCGTTTGAGAATCGAGAAATCTCTCTATGAAAGATTTCTCGATGAACGATCGGCTACCTCAAGTGTACGTTCCCACTAACACCCTTTTCCCTACCACCAATGCGAAGGACTACGATTTATACCGGGAAATATTGCTTTCACACGTTCCTTTAAAAAACGATCCTGCCAAAAATCGATGACGCCCAATAATAACGTACGATCCTCGAAGGTGGAAATATACGAAGGAAAAAAAAAAAAAAAAGAAGAATAAGAAGAAGAAGAAGAAGAAGAAGAAGAAGAAGGAGAAGAAGAAGTTTCTCGTACGGACTATGTGAAATGTGAAATTCAATCGAGACTCGAAATCGGCCCGCATCTATAATACCATTTGAAAATCGTCAAACGTCGAAAACGCTATATCGATTTATCAATCAATTTATCTATCGATTTATCTATCTATTATTCTATCTATTATTCTATCTATCTATCTATCTATCTATTTATCTATTTAGCTATTTATCTATTTAGCTATTCATCGATCGAATAAAAGGATCTTTTGAATGATGATAAAATCGATATCGTGCGTAATCGATTCCGACGGTTTATTTATTAACTTACAATTAGCCGAATTTTTTGGCAGGGAAGAAACGCTTAAAAGGGAACAAAAAATTAAGTTTAGTAATCCGCGCGTAATATTTAAAACAAGCAGCAGTCCGTTCAATACGCCAAATGGCGGGCATTATTGCGATAGGTCCTTCTTCGAGAGATTTGTAAATTGAAGCAATAATAATAATAATAATAATAATAATAATAATAATAATAATAATAATAATAATAATAATAATAATAATAATAATAATAATAATAATAATAATAATAATAATAATAATAATAATAATAATAATAATAATAATAATAATGATAATAATAATAATAATAATAATAATAATAATAATAATAATAATAATAATGATAACAATAATGATAATAATAATGATGATATTACTACAATAATATTAATAATAATTACAATAATAATAATAATAATGATAATAGATACGAATTTTGTCATTAGGTATATACACAATTAATATTGAATAACACTTTATATATATATATAAATATATATATATATATATATATATATATATATATGTATATTATATGCAAGAAAAAAACATTTATATACAAATTAGAAATATAAACTTATATATATATATATATACATAATGTATGTATATACATATATACATACAAATAATATATATACATACACGCAACACACAAATATATATATATACATATATATATATATTTATTTATTTATTAATTTATAATGTTAAGTTTGAAAAAAGGAAAGAAAAAGAAATATGTATTATGTTTGGAGTTACGAGCGAAAAAGAAAATGCAAATATTAAAATGAATATGACGATAATGATGATAAAGAAAAATGATGATAAGGCGAATGAGAAATATAGATGCATTATTCGTTGCAATAATATCATGAAAATGTGTACGTTTCCGTTTCAACGGGACTTTGAAAAATCCGAAAGCATCGCATTTGTACGTATGTACTTCGCAAATTCGACGGCAACTTAAAAGGAGGAGAAGCCGTAAGGAGGAAGTAGAGAAGAAGATAGAGGGGGTGGGCGAGGACGAGGGGAAGGAGAAGTTAGCTATCCGAGAAACGAGAACAGCTTCGGATCGAAATTCTCGATAGAAATGTCCGGACGACTTTGCGAATGCACACTCTCTCACCTACCCGTTTCGTATCTCTTTTGTCGTTCGCCTATGACTATCCCCAACCCCTAACCTCGCAACCCCCAACCCCCGAGCTCCCAACCTCTTTAAAAGAAGTTGCATTCGTGACACGCTTACACGAGTCGAGTTTTCTAACGACGCCAGAAAGAAGCTTGCTTCTCTCTAACGAGACGAGTGAGAGAAAGAGAGAGAGAAAGAGAGAGAGAGAGAGAGAGAGGGTGTGTGTGTGTGCATGTGTGTGTGTGAGAGAGAGAGAGAGAGAGAAGAGAGACCAACGACAACGCATTTTTTCTCTCTTTCTTCTTAGCTCTCGTAGAAGGAACGATCGATTTAAAGAAAAAAAAAAAAAAAAAAAAACGGAAAAGCAAAAAAAGAAGAAAAAAAAAAAGGAAAATAACGCGTGCGCGTTCCCACACGCACACGCACACACACAACGTTCCCATTGAGAGAGATATTTTTGGAACGACTGATCTAAATGAAAATCAAGAAAGTAATATTTGAAGAAGGAATAATCTTGAATTGATTTCTTTTCTTTTTTCTTTTTTTTCTCGACACGTACGTACTTACGTAGAATATGTACATACAACAACTACAAACTTTACTTAATACTTAATTTAGAATCCTGGAAACTCATTTTTCTTTCTTTCTCTTTTTCTTCCTTCTTTCGTTTCTTTCTTCCATTCTTTCTTTTTCTCTTTTTTTTTCTCCTTTTTCTTTTTTTTTCTTAACGCTACCATAAATCAATCCTACCTTTCTTACGTAAATGTATAAACGAAACTAACGAGTTGCAGCAAGATTTCTTCGCGCACACACACACACACACACACACACACATACACAAACACACAAGTGCACAAACACATACGTGAATTGTATATATATATATATACGTATACATATATATATATATATATATATATATAAAATCTACACAAATACATAAATACATATTCACAAACGTATTCTTTAGATTGAGAATATAATAATGATATATCGTCTTGTACGTATATGAATATAGAAAGAGGAATGCATTATCCGAATAAGATGCATCCATGATGCATGGGAATATATTATCCGAATAAGATGTATTCGTGATTTACCGAAGAATAGAAAGGGGTGGGGATTGGGAATGGGAGAGGATAAGAAATAGAGAAAAAGAAAGAGAGAAATAGAAACATGGACAGGAAGAGTAGAAAGGAAGAAGAATAGGAAGAAAGGGTAGGTGGAAGGGATGTAAGTAGGAAGGGGTAGCAGAAGAATCGAAATGTTGTTACAGAATAGGAGGCGCCCATTCTGGCAGAAGTATGCTTTCGACTAAACATTGGAATCTGGAAATATTTCGAACGATCATCATGCTCTTTCGCTCGGTTAGGCGAGTTTACTTTCAACGAGGAGGAAGGAAAGGAAGGAATGAAGGAAAGGGAAGAAAAAAGAAGAGAAGGGAAGGGAAGGGAAGGGAAGGGATGGAAAGGGATACAGAGTCGGGCCCGGCTCGTTAGTCACGACGGTTAGTCACGCTACGTGCATCTAGCTAAGGAACGAAGGAATGAAGTGAGATGAAAGAGAGGAGGATGAACGAAAGAGGAGGATCAGGAGGTGGCGGAAAAGGGAAGGGGGAGGAAGAGGATCGTATAAGAGGGAAAACGCTCGTATTACTGCGCTTCCTCCCTTCTAACATCTTCCTATTTTTCTTTCGTCTACACGCGCGTACTATATACCCATATATATGTATATATGTATATGATACATACGTACATGTAATATATATATATATATATATATATATATAAATATATATAAATAAATATATATATATTTATATATTATATATTATATTATATATATATATGTATATTTATATATCATACATACATACAGATAGATAGTTTTTGACTTTATTGGATACACTAAAGGACGAAGGAACAAAAAATATAACTATATATATATATATATATATATATATATATATATATATATATATATATATATACTTTCGTTCTTTCTTGAGAGCGTCCATCAATTTTTCGATTCTCTTCACCCTTGCTATCATTCAGAAAACGTGATAACGCGTAATAAGAGAGGAAGAGAGACAGAGAGAGAGAGAGAGAGAGAGAGAGAGAGAGAGAGAGAGAGAGAGAAAGGGAATATGTAATTTCTCTCTCTCTTTCTCTCTCTCTCTCTCTCTCTCACTCTCACTCTGTCTCTCTTTCTCTCCCCTCTCTCATTCTCTCTTTCTATCTTTCGCGTTGCCTATCACGAAGGATATCCTTACGTTCAATCACATAAAATAAAGAAGAAAATAGAAGGGAGAAAAAATTTGTGAGGCTAAAGGGCCAAAGAAAGTTATTCGGAAATATGAGCGAGAGAAATAGAGAAAGAGAAGGAGAGAGAAAGAAAAGAAAAAAAAAGATAAAGAGAGAAACACACACACACAGAGAGAGAGAGAGAGAGAGAGAGAGAGAGGGGGGGGGAGGAACATTTTTGTAAGGGTGTCGTCGTTGCTACTGCTACTGTTGCTACTGTTGCTACTGCTACATGTGTATGTATAAGCGTCGTACGAAAAAGATGAGAGCCGTCACGACACAACGATGATGATGATGATGACGACAACGACGACAACGACGACGACGATGAAGGTTATTTTTATATGTACATATAACGAAATATCGAATGTACGTCACGTTTCTCGTGTAAGTAAACGTTCAGATGAATGTCCATGTTTTATCTTTATCTACAACTCTCTCTCTCTCTCTCTCTCTCTCTCTCTCTCTCTCTCTCTCTCTCTCTCTCTCTCTCTCTCTCTCTCTCATATATATACACACACACATTTACTCTATGAGTGCCGATTTCATATAGCAAGAAAAAGAAATAAAATTATATTACATATATTTTATCAAATCGATTATAAATTTTTCATATCTTTCCGTAGTTCTTTTTTTTCTTCTTTTTTTTTTAACTTTCATTTCGTCATCTTTACGTATACCGTGCACGTAACTACGTAGATCAAACGACTAATGAAAAAGAAAAAGAAAAAAGTATTTCGTTCATTTGAAAAGTTTAATAACATGATAATACATCGAAAGATTATAATAATGATCTGGTGATTATGAAAGTGATCTAAGTCGCATGTATATTTACATATATTTATATATATATATATATTTTTTTTTTCTTCATTTTCAAATATATATTTCGATGGATTTGAATTATTATATGTATTTAAATATTATTTTTCTATGTATAATATATATATATATATGTGTGTTTTATATATATATATATATATAAAATGACGAGCGTAAAGAAAAAGAAAAGTAAGTATTATATATTTACTCTTGAAAAATAATGTTTCTTTTTCATGTTATTTTAATAATATTAAAAATAACGCGTATGACATAAAAAAAAAAAAA